TTAAATGATTAAGTAAAACAACAACAACAACAACAACAACAACAACAACAACAACGATGATGATGATGATGATGATGATGAAGATGATGATGATGTGCCACTAAGTCAATCCTGACTCATGGCCACCATTTTCAGGGTTTTCTAGGCAAGGAATACTCAGAAGTGGTTTGCCATTCTTTTCTTCTGGGGACATCTTGGGACTGTGCAGCTTGCACAAGGCCACAGAGGATGACCTCTGAGATGCACCGTGAATTCCCAGCCTCTGGCTCTGAGTCAGATACCTAATTCAGTGAGCATTGTTTCATAATTAAAGACTTCCTCCTTCTATCCCTTGGTTTCCACGGATTCCCAGCAATAAAAGGAAATACACAGGAGCACCGGATACCACAGGACAGAAGTAGGAAATGTCAGATTTCTGAAAAATTGTCCCTGTTGATGACATCATTTACCTTAACATTTGTACCTTTTGCATTTCTGTTCCCCTCCATCCCACTCTCGTCCAAGTGTATAAATATCTGCATCCTCAAGTAAGACTCCATGCATCCAGTGAATAGGATACAGTTCAAAAAAGCTAATGTCAGGTAAATCATATTACTATTTGAAGATCCTGAAAACATGGTTCTCTATTTTCCCATTGGCCACAGACCCCTGAAACTGGATCTCAGTAAGAATTTTCACCCTGACACGGATATGCTAGATCCCAGCCTAGAATATGGCCTAAATTGTGGGAAATGATATTACACACTGGACTGTGCATGAACTAAAAAAACATCCAACACTACACATGAGCTGTGTGTGGCAACAGAAGATTGGTAGTGCACAGACCAGACATCTTCATAACTGCTTGTTGCCCATTATTGACCAGTTTCTAAGGAACTCCATGACTCTCCAGAACACAGTCAAGATCATTGTACTAAATGGGCTAAAGAAGCAAAATGTGGAAGAAAGGAAGGAAGGAAAGAAGGCAGGCAGGCATAACCTGTCAACCAAATAATCCGTCCCACTCTTTTCTCAACTTTGCTATATCCCTTCCCTTTGATGTGCCACAAACCTTATACAACAACACAATTGTGGGGAGTGTGTGAATAGTGACATTTCTGCTACCCTGTTTCCCTGAAAATAAGACCTAACCTGAAAATTAGCCTTAGTAGGATTCTTCAGGATGCTCGTAATATAAGCCTTACCCCAAAAATAAGCCCCAATTAAGTGAAATCCTGCCATCCACCCTTGTGCAGCAACCAGAAGATGACAGGACTGCATTTGAATCAATGTAGATTGTTGTACATGAAAAAATAAACCATCCCCTGAAAACAAGCCCTAATGCATTTTTAGGGAAACACACTAGTAGTAATTTCCCAATACAAACAGCTAAACCACAAAAGACATGCAGAATACCATATCCCAGTTACATTCTGAAGACAACTTTTAATGATTATGTGCAAGGAAATAACTTCTGAAACAACCTTTGTCTGCAACAGCACTCACCTCCTTCAGGTGCCGTTTCAAATGCATATACACACACTGCCCTGTCTTCCGATAATGTCTTTCCACGTGTTCCCTTCCAAATCCCAGGAAAGTGTTCATACAAACATAGAGGCCTCCTTCGGAATCCTGAAAAGAAAAAGAGAATGAGAGCAGCTGTAGTAGACAATGGCTCTGAATCCTTTGGCTTGACATACTAGGCCTTTAGTATGTCATTTCTTTACTAGTCATTTCTCACTGCATGGGGCAAACTGAAGACAGAGCACTCAAAAAGAGTGCTGATAACTTTTTCTGGGTTCATTTTTCATAAAGTGCTTTTGTGTGGTGGGGGGAGAATAGGTAAAGTTCCTCTATGGTAGACCAGGGACAACGGACAGCACCCATAAAAATGTTAAAACACTACCCGAAAAGCCCTATTTCTGCTTCTGGGGGTGTCCAGGAACAGTAGTTTTAGCAGTAAAGAATTTGGAACGTCCCTTTAAAAACCCAGCTCCTAAATCCACACAAAACAAAACCTGAATTTCTTTTCTGACATTTATTATTATCAGTATATATTTACATATACTGTAAATGGCCCAAAAATGCAATTTCTGGGGTCAATGCCTCCAACCCAACTGAGGCTCCCCACCCCTGCTCTATGGCATTAGCTGCATTTTAGAACATTTTATATTTTCTTCCATCAAGAACCAGCTAGTCTCCTGGATGCATGAAGTGCTGCTATCAAAGATTTACTATGGTGAAATACCATCCTTTCATCTTAATACGGTAAGTCCTATAAGGAAGTTGTATATTGTCTTATCACGATATGAAAACACATTCAGGGCCAATAATTCAAGATTCATCTGCTTGATGTCCATTTAACTATTAATACTGCCACAAACCGGAACATCTAATATTTGAGAAAAGACGATGATGAAACAGACCACACATAAGCTAATTAAAACACACAGAACTCCAGTCACAAAATACCAGAAAATGTAAGAATATTAAATGGCTAAATCAACTGGCATTCGCTCAAAACGCAGCTATTCAAAGGGGACTCGCTTGAATTGAGGAACAGCACATTGAAATTAGAGACACAAGCTGCAGCAAAGTCAAGTTCCATGTATCTGTCCAAAAAAATTGCCCTCTTTAATTCACAGTAAAAAAAAATGGAGGCAGAGCAGGGGAGGATTGGGGGGAACAGACGGAGAGAGCGAGAGCTTGTAATCCTTTTCAAAAGAAAGAGAACGCAAATTATACTTGTAATTCTGAAAGAATTCCGGCCCGCCCCTGCAATTCTTAAGCAGTCCTCAAAACCAGGAAGGACTCAAAATAGCACTGTCCTGCTTATCGATAGGAAGCATCAAGAAGAGTGAGGGACGGTTTGAACAAGAGCTTCGAAACATTCTTCTGGCGCACAACTCCCAGAAGCAATCCACTCACCCAGCCACCACTGCCATGGGTCTAAAAAACAAATTCCATGGGTTGGTGAGTACAGTAAATTCATCTTCAGAGCCATGCTGGAAAATGACATCCACGTTCTTCTCCTCACTTTGAAAATCAGAATTTCAACACCTTCCAGAAATGTGGTGTGCATACCTTTCACATTTATACCGGCTCTTTCAAACCCTGCTTTTGACAGCCACCGCCAATTGAATGCAGCCATTTTAATTACTTATTTTTTAAAAATTGAGTTTACTGTTTTTTAATATATTTTTAAACTATAAACCAATTCAAGCTTTGGTACGAGGTGGACAGAACTGGAAAAAAAATCACACATAAACCACAGTGATGGCATTGTTAGGAGCAGTTATTCCCAAACATGTATCATTGTCCACGGTTTTATCTATTTTTTTCCCACCACCATCCAGCCCCCATTGAACCAGTCCATATATAGCACATTACTAGAAGTACAGAACAGCTGAAATGAAACACATCTCCAGACAGTAGATCTATGGTGCAGTCCTATTTATAATTGTACTAGTCCATTCCAACTAATTCATCTTGGGGAAGAAGCCATCCTTGTGTTTAATGTGTTTTATCCTTTGATTCAATTTCTTAGGAGTTCTTTGTGTTTACTTAGGGTCGAAATAAATTGTGTTCATTTCAGGCGTCAGTTAAAGGACAATGATGCATCATATTGAGCAAGTGTTGTTAATCTACAGCTTACATTTCCTTGTTGTTTGAATTTCTTTGTTTGAACCATAACTTCTGCTTTAAAATTAAAAATTAAGGTCCTTGAGGAACTTTCCTGCTTTTTAAAATATAGGAAGACAGTGACATCAATACTGAGAAAAGACAACTTGTCTTTATTCAACCATTCAAGGAACAAGATTTTTCTTTTAAGCCAACTTTTAAAGCAACACTCAACAGCAACATAATACTTAGTACTTAATGCACAAAGCAGGTCAATTTCTTGTAACCAGTTTTATCTAAATTATTAAGAAACTACAAATGAGCTGACATTCAAGTCTATCTCACAATGAAGCAGATTCTGTATACTACAATGTAGTGCTCTTAAAGGCCATAGGATGTTAGATTTTCGCTCAAAATTTAACACCAGGAAAAATTTTAGGAATATATATATTTCACCAAAAGCTTTGTTTTCAGTAACTGCCTGGAACAAAGTACTGTATACGAAGGACGAGAGGACCAGATGTTCTGAACTCATGATCTCTTACCACTTGCCACATGGGCTGATGTTTCTGGGAACTGAAGTCCAAAATACCTGGAAGGCCAAAGTCAAAGTCACAGATTATGCTGCAGATAACCCAACCAAAATCTGTTTTCTCCCTTTCTGGTTTGTTTCTTTCCTGTCCCTTTTCCTAGCTCCTATTTCTGGATGTGCAATTTGGGAAACAAACCAAGGACAGGCCACAGCTGTGGGTTCAGGCATCATTATTACATGGTTTAAAAGAGCCAGAGTTTGTAAGACAATAGCTATGCATTCAGAGATCATAGTTGGTTACTAACTGCAGATCATTATTACAGATGGATTTGTTATAACATACAAATTCACATATTGTGAAGGAGGAGTAGGCAATGTGGAATGTGACGTCTCCTCAAGTAAATGAATCAGTGATAGAAGAACTGAGAGAGGGAACAGAACGGGTGATTGTCAAAGGGGATGAGAGGGAACGGATAAAGACAGAGGTTTGTTTGCTGGAAGAGGGGAAAGGAAAGGAAAGGGAGGAGCTAACATTGTTGGTATGGAAGGAAGAGAAAAAGGAGGAGGAAGGGGTGAGAAGATTCAGAATACCCCGTGAAGAGATGAAAGAGGGAAGCTGAATACCAAAAAGCAAGCGACTTATTGAAGGACTTTCCCAACTTGAAAGTTGGAGGATTATTGCCGGATCCAGCTCCCAAGAAAAAAGAGGTGTAACCGTGACTGAGACGTCAGAATGGACGGAAGTAGTATTGCCAAGGGGACAGGGTCACTGGAGGAGGGCGATTCGTCCCAACACCACATTCAACCAACACCCCTCGAGGGTGGACTGGACGCGTCACCCATGCTGTGGCAAAATTTGTGCCATGAGGAGCGCACCGTAACGGAAGCGAACGGACAGAGAGCGTTTTGGTCTGGCTCCACAGTGAAACAGAACAATTCATTCTTTAATGCGTTACCACATTCTTAAGGTCAACTTCCTGAGTTAAGCTGTTTTTAACCCATAGAAGTTGTTGATTCTTCGGATGTTAAGTTTAATAAGTTTGTTAACGTTCAAAATGAGCCCTCTTGGTTATTTCCCACCCATAAACAAGAGCTGCCCTTAACTTACTTCGAACTCAATCACTCGGACCACACGTTTTCTCAATAGTTTTTATCCTAGAGCTATAATTGCAATTAATAATGAGCTTAAAGACCACCAGTAGTGAATAATTAGTTGGACTGTGTTACTTGGCCTGCGGTGTAGATGTTTGTATTTTCAGTGGGGGACTTTTAGTGGGTGGGGAGTGTTTGGGGAATTTTATGTGTGGTCTCTGGGTGTCTGTGAATTTCGTTGTATGTGTATATACTTACAACGACAATAAATTATTATTATTATTATTATTACATATATAGCCTCTGTGGCTGGATCACCACAGATCTTGTCTCATTTATATGAATGGGGACAAAAAATAATGAATTTACCTTCAACAAATGTATCTCCTAAGGTTTTAGTAAAGGAAGGACTTCCTTCAGTAAGTCTACCTTAGGTATTTAAATCTACAGCACTGTTTTGGAACTTTCTTTGGCCTTTCTAATCAGCACAGTTCTCTGTTCAGACGGAGCTGCTGGGTGACACTTGAGATCTGAAGTGTGTGAATTATAAAAATAGCCTCTCTTCCAATGGGAAATGACAGCCACCAGGCAGCTGAGTCACCTTTAAATCTCACATAGATTTTTCTATCCAAATGGAAAAAGAAAACAGAAAAGGGGTGATTCAAGATCAAAAAGCCAGAGTTTCCCCCAAAATATGTACAGTACTTGACACACTATAAATAAAATGAAAGGGACTGTTTAGTTCCAAAATTACTGGGAAGACAGAGCAACTCTTTACTCCTCCAACCCCACTCCTTATTTCAGGTTTTTTTGTTTTTGTTCTTGGGATAATTCCACAACTTTTATTTGGCTAGGCAAACCATTCACTGGTGAAGACATTTCTGGGGTGGTGGTGGTGGGAGAGAAGCAAGATAACAGCGAAGTCTACCTGATTCACATTTTTGGAAGTTTTTGTTACGATGGACTGGCCCGGTGTTTGCCGACACTTATCAAGATCCTCCCAAAAGCATGTTGTTGCAAAATCAACCACGTAGTTGTGTTCCAACTTTAGCTATTAACACAAAGAACAGGTGATGTCAAATGCAAATATCTTGTTTGCCTTGTCCTAATGATATGCATTTTTAAGTCCAAGTATCATCATTGCTGGCAATATGCTACAAGATTCAGTAGACTATACTGTATGAAACTAACATTTTGTATAGCGGGATAAAAGCACAGAACACAATTAAGGCTCGTTGAGAGGTACTTCAAGCCACTGGAATTCCCCATCATAGCCAAGTGAATTTAAAGAGAAACCTCACTCGGGCTGAAAAAGAATGATATTCTTTTGCAATCTCAAGTCTTGAAAGATGAGTCATTGGAAAAGGCAATAATGCCAGGAAAATTTAGAAGGCAGTAAGAAAAGAAGAAGACATAACAAGAAATGGTTCGGGTCAGTAAATGGAAACTATGGTCTTGCA